TTTCTCTCTCCTCCCTTCATGATACATGCCCAGTTGGGCAATGTATGTACAACCAAGGATCCACAATTGTGATAAAAAGGACTGAATGGACAATGCAATGTTCATCCTGATACATACAAAATAGCACTTTGTAGTGCAGTGGAAGACTCAGATATAAGTCCTGACTTGACCGGGATTGACACGGCATCCCGTTATACATCACCCATGTGAGAGGAGGAGGAGATACCAAAGTGTTGCATACCGTAATGGTGCAAACCAAAACAAGGACCGACCTCCCTCACATAGTACAAGACAGCGCAGCGGAATGCTAGGATACCAATGATCAACCCAATCAATGTCGCAATGCAGACTCAACATACATCATCATCGTTGCAAGGGTCAAGGGCCTTGCGCTACACACAGGAAGAATGCGGTAGGTCCGGACCATACACATACGAAGAGGAGGGGATCAAACGAAGAAGAGGGGGAAGATGGGATTGTTGTCATCACCAAGTCTTCGGTATAGGTGCCAAATAATTCCTCGTTCAATGTCTCAATCCCAATGCCTGAATCCAAATGTCGTCAAGTCCCAAAGAAAGAATTAATTAAAATTCTTTTTGAATTTCAAAAAAAGAAATATCGAAAAGGAATTTAATTAATTCTAATGTGTTTTCATTTTTTTTTTCCTTAAAGAATGAAGTAAATGTAGTTTCGAATTTGGAAAAAGAAATGTTGAGAAAGAATTGATTAATCCTAAAGTATTTGCGAATTATAAAAAAAATTCGAAAAAGGAATTAAACCACCAGTACCTTCCCTAGTGTTGGGAAAATACGAGATGCTGGCCAGTAGCCGAAGTTTTCGGGGGTCGGACAGAGTGTCGGCAATGTCCCAAAAGTCGTATTTTTTTTTTTCCTGTGCACGAAAGGGAAAGGAAAAAAAATGGGCCTTTGTACTGCAATGATGTCGTGCAGGGATGTCTATGAGACCGTGCTCACAGTTTTGCATGCATCTTACAACAAAGACGGTCACGTTCTCAAACTTGTTGTTTTCTTTTTTTCTTTTGTATTTGTTTGTTACGAGTACCCTGCCAACGAGGCAGGGCGGAATCCGTGATCTGTTGTAGTAATGTTTCCTCAGATGATTGTAACACTGATATACCCAGCCGTTTTCAAGGCCGAATCCATGTTTTCGTTTTTTTTTTCTTGTTTTCATTTTCTGGACTCTGACAATCTGAATCCGTGATCTGCTCGAGCTGTGTTCCCTCAGAGGATTGTAACCCTGATCACACTGGCACTTACGGGAATGTATCTT